GGTTTCTAAGGCTGTAAATCTTTACTGGAGCAGAAAGCCTCATCTTTCTTCCATGGAACAGCTGGTAGTTTCGAACTGCTGACCCTGAAATTAGCAGCCGGATTCATAACCAGTAAGCTACCAGAGCTCTTTCTATAGAAAGATTACAGCCTAGGAAACCATACGGGGCAGTTTCACTCTGTCACATGGGGTCACTATAAGTTGGAAATGGACTCAACAGTTCCTAACAACACCACCCAAGTACCAATGAGCTGGTGGACTCTAAATGTCTTAACACACAGGGACTATACTCCTATAGTCAATGTTATTCAAAGAATCCTGGGGGAAAATTAAATTCATTCAACCGACAGCTTAAAGAAATATCTGGAAACAATTTATTCTCTCTCTCTCTTTTTTTTTTTTTTTTAACTTTTTATTGTGAATTTTGTAAAGGTTTATCATCAATTTTAAATTAAACAAATCACATTCTTAAACTGTTTTGTTTTTTTAACAATATATTATGGAGGAAAATGTGAAGCACAATTAAAATTTTAAGATAGAAATTTTAAAATACTGTTATCTTTAAAAATCCATTGGAGGTTGGGGAGCTATTCATACATATACCCAAGAGAACTTCCAGCTATAATTTGCACATGAATGCTCATAGAAACATAATTCATAATAGTGAAAAATATAGAAATGACTTCAATGTCCTATAATTTCAAAATGAATGAACAAAGTATGATATATACATACAGTAAAATATTAATATTATTTCACCCTAAAAACAACAAAGTAATAACACATGCAGCAATATGAACCTTGAACAGCAAGTGAAAAAAGCCAGTTAAAAAACTATCCATTTCTTTGAAGAGTCCAGAATAAGCAAATACATAATTGACAGGAAGTAAATTAAAAGTAGCCAAGAACTGGGGGCCTGTAAAGAGGGCGTGCAGGTAAGTGTTGGTAGGAAGTAAATTCTAATAGTCGCCGGTTTCTTTCTGAAGTGACAAAAATGTTCTGGAATCAGACAGTGGTGATGGTTATACAACTCTGTAAATATACTTTAAATGAGTGAATTTTATATTATGTGAATTATATCTCAATTTTTAAAAAAACACATTTAAAATAAGTACTTATGCCCTAAGAGCAAAGGAATGAGGCCTTGGGTTCATTTTTAAACTCTTCTTCCATTAGTAGTACCTCTTTATAATGGTATGAATGCAAAGGCTTTGTGTTTGTAATTGTCAAAATGCATGTGAACATAACAATCAAATGAACAAGTATTAATTCTGCCTTACTACATACAGCATTCTAATACTGGTTGGCAACACAGAATAGAGTGATAGAAAAAGTGTTTTTGTTACTTGCAGGCCAGCCACTTCCAA